TTGGTATGAAAGTCGGGAACAACTTGAACTGGGCTCTCATTCCTTATTCGGCTTCTTCCTTGTATGACGTCATTGCTAACAACACCTACAGCAATTTTACTATTGGTCGARAGAAATGGCTGTCTCTGATTGGTGGATCAACGTTACAAAATAATTGCAATGAAGAGGGGTTTAATGGCGGCAATCGTGTGAGGATTGGCATTCGAGCAAACCAAGAATCAGACTGCCRTACATCAGATAGTTGGATTGGATTTGGTTTACCTTGGACAGGCAAAATGTCGTGTGGTAACTTCTGTGGGCTAGGGAWATGCGGCAATGGAACTAAAATAACCCCTGTATTTGGTTACATCCTCATAATGTGAACTACAACCGATGTCTTTCGTTTTTTGTTTTGTTTTTTTTTTTATTATTATTATTATTCTATTTATAAACTAAAATAAAGCAGATTAATATTTAGAGTACAAACACTATTCTTCGATTGCACGTTACGTCATCGCGGCCATGTTGGTGCSATTTAACAAAAGATTTCTCATTAGCATCCATTGYGAACGGCACCACWATGGCCGCCATGCTTTYGTCTTTTGACTCTCTTGGGAATGCTTGCAATCCATCAATTAGAGTTCAACATAAATACCACTAAATACTTCTAAATTACGCTAATCCTATTGTTTTTTATTGTTTAATTAGCACTATTTACTACTAAATAGTGCAAAGTGTTGCGCATTTTTTGTGTTTGTACTCTACTTATCATGAAGATAGCTTTAGGCACTACAATAACATTTTTTTTTGTGTGCAATTATGAGGATACAAACGAAAGTATTATAGTCAAAGTAGATAATTTGCATCAAAACAAATATACTTGTCATCCTAAAAGTAGCAGAGGCTAATCTACTTTAAAACCTCTATTCTTGAGACTTTGACATCTGGCCGCTACATAGAGGTTGGTCGCTTAATACAGGTGTGGTTTTAATACATGCCACAAACGGTCTCTCATTGGGACTGTAATTGACATCTGGTCGCTAAATAGAG